GGATCTGTTCAGGGACAGATCTGTTCAGGGACACATGGATCTGTTCAGGGACACATGGATCTGTTCAGGGACAGATAGATCTGTTCAGGGGCACATGGATCTGTTCAGGGACACATGGATCTGTTCAGGGACACATGGTCCTCTCCTCTCATCGTGGGTCTAACTGGACATGTCCATGTCTCAGGTTCCAGATCGCAGCCAGTCTCAGCATGCAGCGCTACGCTCTGGTGTTTGGGGTCAACACCTTRGTGGCTCTGCTCCTGCAGACCCTGCTCACTGTCATCGTGGTGGACTCTGCAGGACTTGGACTGGATGTCTACACCCAGGTGAGTCCTGCTCACGTCCTGGCTTTGGTTCTGTTGAGGTCGATGTCCTGAACTTGTTGTCCTCCCTTCAGTTCCTGGTCTACGGGGCCTACTTCTCTGTCATCTCTGTGGTCTTCCTCCTGGCCGGACTCTGCAGACTGACGTCCATCAGGAGGTCCAAGCAGGACCAGGCTGGTGTTCCTGCAGAACCCTGCRACGGTCCAACAGGTCCATGTAGAAACACTTGAGTGGTTTGGACATCCTGGACACCTGGCAAGAAGTCCATCAGGACCAGGTTTAGTTAGTCCTAGCAGGAGTCCGACTCTGGTCTCCTGGACTCTGAGCACTTATTTCTCTGATGTTACCACCAAACAASTGGACAGTTCCTCAAGAGGGGCTGGACCAACAGGACTAATCTGCTTTTTGTTGTTTGGGTCTAAAATCAAAAGATGACAAGACTTCCTGGTTTTTACCTTTAGACATGTGGAACAGCTTGGTACTTCACTGTTGGGTCTYGACCACAGCGTGTTGAGGTGCCTCACAGGTTCACATCTGGACCAGAGGTGCTCGAGMCCATTCAGGAGACAACCGATCCTGCTGGCTTCAGARAAACCAGAACTGTTGATGCTCCTGATCAACACACAAAACAAAGAGATCCAGGAGTCACTCCTGTAGAGTCTAACAAGACACAACKCATCAGAGGACGTGAAGTTTCCTCTGGTCTCTCATGAAGTTCATTATGTAGGAGAGACGATGTTCTGCTGCCTGGCTGAGGAACTATTACAACACATTACACACTGGCTGTGTCCAAAACAACAGGCCGGGTCCTCCGGAGGAC